ATAAACTATATATCGAAGATAGTTAAAAAGTTACAAGTAAATACTTTTAAATGAAGAACAAAAAAAATGGAACTTTATCAGTTGTCCGCATATTTCCAGTCAAAAAACCTGAAAATTTAAGATATTTTTTTCCTTATCTCATTATTTTCTTTTTTATACAAGCTAAAATTAATTTAAAGATTGGTTTTTTATTTATTAAATTGAAGCCCAATTTTTTAATCAATTTACAACATCCTAAATTTGTTTCCTAAAGGCATAGAAGCAAGAAAATGAAAAAATATGAAAAAATTAATATTTTTAATTGGAGAAACCATAAAGAACACTTCTTTAAATGCTTTCTTAATTATTTTATAATATTCATTGATGACATAAATGATTTTTTTTGCAAAAAAACTAGACTTTTTTAATCTACCAACATCACTGAGCCAATGATAATTTTTTCTTTATTGATAAAAAATTTACTCGTAAATTTTTGTCTCTTTTGAAACGAAATGCGCAAAAAAATTTTTGGGAGTGGTGAAACATTTAAAAAAAAAAAAAGTTATATAAAAATTAGGCACATAAAAATTTGTTCTAATGATTTCAATTTCGTGGTTTCAATAAATTGGGCGAAATTTGCCGCTGTGATTTTTTGTTTTTTCTTCTTCTTCTGTTAATTCATTGATGATCGAAAGATCGAAAAAATTCTTTAAAAATTTTTTTCTTTTTTAATGATCGTCATGACTGCTATATTTTTACTTTTTCTATGCCATTCATGCCTAATCTGTTTATATTTTATCGCTGAAACGATTTTATTATTAATTAATGCTGTAGAGATAATTTATTTTTATGGCATAGAACCGACTTTTTTTGCCGCTCTTAGTTTTTGCAATTAAACAATTATTTTTTGGAGCTTTCGATTTTCCTAAAAATCTAAATGATAATTTTATGATAAAATAATTTTCGAGTAGTTCGCTAGAAGAATTGGTTATTATAGAAAAGCAGAGTTCTATTTTTGGTGCTTTAGGTGAAATTTATTACTGAAAAAGGAACCGTGCAATAATGCTAAGTGTCCACCAACCTATACCATTATGAGTATTTGACAAATGACTAACTAGAACGAAAAACGAGCAAAAAGGTTTTATTGTGTTAAATCAAATATTGTCAAATTAAAAAGATGTGGTTAAAATTAAAATTAAAAAAGTGTAGTCAATGTGTGCTGTCAGGAGAATTAAATGGATTTTAAAATTAATTAAAATTAATTAAATGATTTAGAACTAAAAACAAATTTAACCATGCCATCTATTAATTTTATTTTCTCGCCTCTTCTTTTCTACCATTTTATCATATACGCGGCCTATTCGCATGAGAGTTCCTTTCTAGACACTCGTTAAGAAAAAGAAATGGATTCCTACAACAATGAATAGTTTATCAATAGTTTATCAAAAGGAAGAGGGCAGAGATTGAGTTTTAATACTTTGCCTGTTTGTTTTAATGCTTGTTTAATAATGCAAGCAATATGCCATTCGGTTATATTTGCCCATTAATTCCATTCATTATAAATATTTTGCTAAATTTTATATATAATTTTATGTACCAATAATAGTATAATTATCATCATTAGAAATTTTTTTAAATGATTTTATGAAGAAATAACAATGAAAAAACAGTAATTTTTTATGCGCTTCATTAATTTGATTAATTCTCTATAAAAATATTGCATTTAAAATGAAATTTTTACGGCAAATTATTGTTTTTTGATTTGATTTGATTTGGCAAAAAATTTCTTTTTATTAAATTATTGCTAATTTGGTTTTTCCATTTTGTTAAAAGAAACTATTATTATTAATAAAATGGGTCTAAAGAATAAAAGGCTGTAATAAGGTTGAAGGTTACTTAACTCTATTTAAAAAATTTACGCTTAGAAGAGATTTATAACTTATGCTTTAGGCTTGAAAGATCTACAAGGTGCCAAAAAGGAATGGAAATGAATATGGAGATGAAATGAATTTGGCGAAAATTTCTACCAGTCCTTTTCAGCTCCTATAACAGTAAATATTTCCATCAATTGAGGCTAATTGTTTTTTTATAAAAATTTTTTTTCAAAACTTCTTTTTTTTTCAATAATACCAATAATTTCTGATTAGATTTGCATTGCTGGTATTTAGGATGAGATTATTCCTTTGGCAGAAAGCCATTCAGAGATAAAAATGCTATTGAATTACCAACATTGCCTAGATTTTTAAAATATTATATTTAATAAGATTTTTAAAATGATTATATTTAAAAATTTAAAATTAACAAATCAATCGTTAAAACAAAAATGAATAAAACAAAAATGAATAAATTTACTTTTGAAAGCAAAATTATTTTTATTAATTAACAGTATTGGAAGACGTTATTTTATTAGCATTTAGCATTTCACATTTATTTTATGAAGAAACAGGTTGTGACAAAAACCATAGCAAATAGGAAATATTCGACCTATCTAATAGTCTAACAGATATTTCGATTAAAAATTACTTAGAAACTCTAAAACTTAAAAAATTGTATAGTTTATAATAGTTCCTTCCTAATATAAAAAAAACCTTTTTTCAACAGTTTGGGTAGTCGTGATCATTCTCTACCAGAGGCCGAAGGAATTGAAGATTTTGTGCATTATCTTAAGTTGTTCTTAACAGTGTGCTCTTCTAGATAGGGATCTATGATATTTCTGGAATCTGCCACTTTTCTAGTTTACAAGCGACAGTTCCAAGTGCTTCAATTATCACTGGAGTAATTACTTTGGCCTTTATTTTCCACACCTTCTCTACTAATATTCATCATATCATCATATATGAATGAATATAAAATCTGATATAAATCAAAAATCAAACAATGCTAACGGTATATTTGTTTTATTTAGAAGAAATATAAGAAGAAATGGTAAAAAAAATTTTTTTAATAATATTTTTACTATTTTTTTTGTTGTCAATTGATTCTCTATTTGTCATATTTTAGTAAATTTACTGTTTTTATTATAAGAAAATAATAATTAAAAAGAAGCCGAATTCAGCTTCAAAATTTCATCGCATCATTTTCATTTCAATAAACTTTTCTATTCTTTTTTTGTTGTTGTTCTTTTAAATTTTATGAAACAATCAATATGACAATAAAGAATTAATAGTCTAACGATTTTTAATATTATTTTTATTAAATTTTTTTAGTCGAATCGTTTTAAGTATTTTAAATATTTAGTAGTACTCCAGTTCTCAACATTATTGAGTCCGTTGGCTATAAGGATAAGATGTTTCCGAGCTATTCGATCCGATGCCATCGTCGACAGTAATAGAAGCTATTCCTTTTTCATCGTCTAGGCCCATATATCGCTGGTTCACCTGCAAGTTCGAAATCTTTTCTGACCGTATCAGTGCCCAGGTTTTAATTGGTCCACCTCGCTTTTGATGCTACCCATCATAGGGTTTAGCAAACAACGAAATATACGTCAACTCCTGTGGTGAATGACGAAGCATGTGCCTAGCGAAGGCAACGCTTTATGATGGTACTTGAACGAAGGTAAATGCGAAAATGTGAAATTTTTTCAGCTCGGTGGATGCGTAAAATATATGTTAGAAATGAGCGGTCAAAGTCAAATGAGTGGCAAAGGCTCCTTAGTGTCCTCCACTCTCATTGACCATGTCTTGCCAGCCATATAGCAAGATTGAACGAATCGTGGCTATATAGATGTAGAATAATGATTTCGCGGCGAGTCCATGAAGGTTTCATCAACCTGAAGAAAGAATTTCTAGCTGCTATAATCCGAGTTGTAATGTCATTTGAAATTAGAATGGATCCAAGAATTTATAGTCTCGCAGTTTCTCAACGAATTGATAAAAATAGCTTCTTTAATAGTATAGCAATTCTACAGTTGGTTAAGCTGCTTCTTTTGCTTCTCCTTTTTAAATAGAAAGCATGTATTTGGCTAATTCGGTGGTGGTGAGCGTGATTTTTTGTTGGGCTTGGCGTCTTATCGAAAATAAAACCTATTCAATTTTTTTATTATCAATCTAAACTCTCGTTATAATTTCCATTTGTTCAAGTTCTTTTGACCAATCTTATTTATAGCTTTTCAAGTAACATTCATCAAAGGATTTGACATATGGCAAGAAGTTTGCTAATTCTTATTTTTTTTTTTTAGAACAACAATATTTATTGCGAATGAACTTTCTTTTTGCTGTTATTGTTTAATACTATAGAAATAAAAGCAAAATGTTTTGCATTTCTCTTTGTACTTTAAATTTTTGTGAAAATTTAGAAGAAAAATATTAAAATATGTTTTTATGGCATTTCGCAATTTTATTTTCTTCCTGCATTCTGTATTGTTTATCAGCCGAACTCAATGATTGTTCGAAATTATCAAGATGTGCAGTAAAACGGTGCTTTTCGTCCAGTAAGTTTTCTCTTAGTTTTCATTAAATTTCATTCGATTATAAATAAACAGCTAGTGGGTAAACTGCTTTCACTTCGGAACGCCAAAGCTCATTTTTCTTCTACCAGTCGGTCTATTAAATTTTCCTGAAATATTGCTGACCTATTTGCATTTTCAATTGCCCACTGATTCTCTGGTAAAATTTGACTAACTCGGCAAGCTAGCGAAAGGAACCTAACTAGAACTTGTATATGGTAAAAAAATTGTTCAGTTATAGAAATAGTTCATGTTATTCTCGACTTTCAGAACTCCTCATTTAAATAAATCTTGAAAAATTTATGTCCAAAAAAGATTATAATTTCATCTTGTTGGAAACAAATGAACTCGATTCTTGATTCTGCCAAAAATAATTGATTAATTAGTTATCAATGAATTTCTAAATAAGATACTTGGAATTGAACATACATGTTTAATTTACCATTTGTTACTTGAAAATCTTAATTTTTAATTTAATCAAGTCGTCGAACAACATTTCAGTATCACTTCGCTTTCTTATAGATAACTTCTTATAGATAAAATAATAAAAGCAATACAAACCTTAACTGCGACTAATATGTTCGAAACGGTTATAAAAGAATTCAATTTTGCTTGTATGGCTACAAAATGTCGACCATACTGCCTTACTTGCGATCACTGCCAGTATGCTTTGGAGCAAATTTCGAATTTTGCATCAGGATCAAAAACAAGTAAGTATCTTTCACTTTGAGATGGCCATTTTTTAGCTATCAGAGGAACAAGTCTCGTCAATTTCCACCGAGGAGAAAAATTGGCTTCTTTTCCTTCGGCATGTTAATATAGTTAGAACCTTTTCTGAATCCTACTTAGGCTTACGCTTGGATATAAAATTATCTACGTATATAAAATTAAAAGGTTGGCTGATCGCTCAGATCGTTCTTTATTACACAGTACTTTCAACATATTTACCACATATTTTTTACCACAACTTATGCCCATTCTAAAACTTGTTAAGAAGGAAAAATTCGGAATTTTTCCTTCCAGTCGAAATCAATTAATTAATTACAGGATGATGCCAAAAGTTGTTATAAGTCGATGTAAATAGTAATCATTAGCAGTATCATTAAATTTTTCGTCTCAAATAATCCGACTCATTGATTAAATTTTATCAAAAGTTGAAATGGATGAAAAATTGAAAACAGGAAATTTGTTGTCTAAGACAGAATTTTGAGAAGAAATAATTTATTTTATGTATTTCAACAAACCAACGAATCGACAAATTTCTAGCCCTATTAATACGGAAATTAATAACAGTTCGGTCAGGTCAAATTATGTCAAAAGCTCGATTGATTTTGACCAGACAAAATTAAACTTTAAATCACCTAAAATGAAATGTGGATGACGGGCTGATATTTCTCTGTCACTTAGTGAATCTCCTTCTAAGTTGATAATCATTAAAACCAACTAAAGAAGGAATGAAGCATGCGTATTAGCGGAAGGACCAGAATGATAAATGATAAAGAATAATGATAAAACAATCATAAATCATAATGATAATCATTATAATAGTCATTAAAATAATCATTTGGATATAAAAAATTCTTAACCTCATTGTCATTGCAGAGATCTCGAATAGGATGTGCCCGAAAATGGAGGCATGTTCAAGAGAATGCCTTAAGGAAGATGTCTTTCGAGTTGTTTCATGTGCCAAATTACGTTGTACTATATTTTGCTTCAACGGAGATTGCCCTCAGTGTAGTGGGATCGCTAAGCGAATTTTTGTTCGAGTCTGCAGAAATTATGATATACCTAATATGCCAAATGTACAATTCAATGGTACTTGTCAGGAATTATTTTCATCAGTTATTAAACATTACTTAGATACAAGGCAGTCCAATAATTGAGGTTTGTTTAAAAGGCAAAACTTTTGCTATTTAAAAACTTTTGCTATTTAAAACCGTTTAGAACTAGACTGACAGCCTTACCTATGAGATTTATTATTGAGAATTTAATGTTTTTTTTTTTTTTTTTTTTAATGGTTTCTTGGGAAGATGGTGCAAAATTAAAATTATTTCGTACAGAAGGGAAAAAACTTTATTTTATTTATTTTATTTTTTATTTTATTTTGATATTTTATTTTATTTTTATTTCCTACGGTATGGTATAAAACAACGAGATTTTGGCCTAAAGTGGACCTTCAATCATTTTGCAACTAATCAGACCATTATATATTTGCCCCATAAATGGAAAAGCACTGTTTTAGTACAATATATATATGTAATTTTTGTTATAGAATTAATAAATATAAGTTTCCGTTGACTACTTTTGCATAAAATGAATATGTCTAATGCTTAATTATCGGGTAACAATGTGTCAGAATAAAGATTTGCCAAAAATTTGTCATTTTTGCCGCATTTCATGCCATAATTTATGAATTATACGCTTCTCTTATAAATTTAAGTCGAAATTTCGAATATGATTCACCGGTCTGAATGCTTTTCCTCATGTGCGATTCTTTTCTGGAAGGGATTAATGAAAAAGTATCGGAATGAATGCCGGAATTTTTGTATTAAGCGTTATCAGATTTTTATCAGATTTTTCATGCTTTTCTCTTTATTTCGTGGTTTATGGACTAAAAGTTTTCCAACTTTTTGTAATATATCTTTAGTTATCTCAAAAAATTGTAAAATGAAAGAAAACGTTCGATTCAACAAATACTATCATCATTTAATGATCATTGATGGTTGTTTAATCATAAAATTTGCGGAACAACATTTTATCATTTTCGCTGATTTCGGCCGATGACCATATTTAGGTATTGCTAGAGAAAATTTTCGATGCAGCCACGTATATTTCTGGTTTATTGACGAGGATGAAAATTGAAGCTATGATAATAGCACCAGAAAAAAGAAACAAACAAAATCTATCGATAACCATCGCGACAAAACGCCAATCATCATGACCTTCTTCTTCTTCATCTTCTTCATCCATTCTCTCTCTTAAAAATGCAGAATTCTATTAAACTTCAGTAAATTTATAGATATTTTTATTCTTCTATTTTCTCATCAATTTTGAAATTTGCCTTGGCGAAACAAATATCCTTGCATGGTGCCAAATATTTCCGATTATATCTCTGTAAATTAATTTGTAGCGAGCGTCAAATAAATAAACTCGAAAAAAAAGGCAGAAAAATTTATTTTCTCTTGTTAATATCAAAATTTTACCTGAGAATACGAAGAAAATCAGAAATCTCTCGTAAAGTAGTTTCGAGAATATCCGACGCCATCTCAATTTCGAAACTTTCGCCAGAAGTTTTTATTAAATTAATATTTGCGTTTTGAATGTTATTCTCGACAAAACCTAATTCGATTAAAATTTTTTAATTTATTTTCAACAATTTAATTAATACCGCAAAATTCCAAATTAAAGAAATTTAGTCTAAGAATTTCCGCTGAATTTATAAGTCGATGTTGATCATTTATTCACCAAGGACAAGGACATTACACCAAAGGTGAGAAGATGTATCTCTCTATACGACGTAGATGTATTGAAAATTTAACGCGAATTTTGCCTTGAAGATTTTTGCTTGATTGAATTTAAACTTCATACATTCGTTCGATTTTTGCTTGATTGTCTGGTATTTATTCATATTGCCACTACCATACAAGCATTTCAATGAATTTATGCTACCACCGCGTACCAATCGAGCAGCATCACGATGTAACATTGAATCCATAATTTTTGCTTCTCGTAAGACTGGTGTTGTTGATGATTTATTCTCTTGCGATCTAAATTAATCGCTTATCATTACTCAATTAAATAACCAGTTTGATAAGTTTGATGTAAACACACATTTGTTATTTGTAGATTATTATGAATTATAAAAGGATAGAATGATAGGATAGTGGGTTGTTGCTCAATTCTGTGTGCCGAAGCTGAGGTTCTGTTCCCAAGGAAAGGACCTGTCGAGAAACACAGGTGGTGCTGGCGTCTCACCTGTCATCCTATCGCCAACGAACTCCCTAGCATATTTGCCCAGTGCGACAAATCAGCGTGGGGAATTTAACCAGTAATGATGAGGTCTCTTAAAAAAAAGAATTATAAAATGCACCGTTTCTCTATCAATGTTCTGCTAAATCGATATCCAGGTCGACTCATAAGAAGCAACCAAGGCATCCAATCCAAAAAAATTTTTCTCATCTGAAAAAGTGAACTGATAATATCGCGTTTTTTTTATTGGAAAATAGCGAGAATTTCAATAAAATGATCAGGTGATTAATGTTTCGATCAATCTTTTTACGCTTCTTTTGCCCTAAAAATTATTTTAGTATCAATATATTCATTGTAGAACTGCCAATATACGGTTATAGCCTAATTCTACTAAAATATGCTTAAAATTTTCTATTGTTTCTTTAAGTTAATTTTTCAAAAAGTTTTCTACTAGATGACTTTTGCAATGAACTAGACCAATTGCGATCATAGATTGAGTATTGTTTTTTGACAACCTTCACACCAAGGGAGTGAAAATAAATATATGCGAACGGTTTACCCATGGGCTCATTTGATGCGTTCGTGGTGTTCGAAAATGTAAATTTATAATCAGCACTGTTATCATCACTGAGCAACCAAGAATTAGCATAGAAACTGAGAAGAAGGCAGCTGAAATTTTATTATAAGAGAAAATTTTAATTATAATTGGTATAAAGCGAAGTTTTTCTCAGAAAAATTTAAAACTAAGAGAATATATGGAATTCGATCTTGGCAAGGCATGCAAATTTAAAACGAAATTCAGCAATTTGTAATCGAAAAACTCAAATGTGAATCTCAAATAAAATTCAACCAGCAATTAACTAATAAACTAAAAATTGAGCGGAATATCAAATGAATATTATAAGAATCTTCTTTCTGTGGTTTACAATTTAAATTGAACAAATTATAAGTCATAAGAGAAAAAGTTTTAAATGAATGAAATATGTGAAACCTATTATAGGCACTGATTCTGAAGTGGGTGGTGTAACTTCATAAACCATACCAAGAAAAACCGTAACTGATAGTAGATTCGTTATCTCTGAAAGATATGAAATCAACAGTGTTCTAGCAGCCGAAAGCCTTTCCGATGAAATCCTTTAATGCTTATTACCTCAATATAAGAATATCGCATAATGGAGTCTCGGACATCGCTCGAATTAACAAGGTCCGAATCAGAGGGACCAGGATTTCCTGACAAAGAGTAGGTTACTGGGAGAGCGCCAGTTATTGTGGGACAAGGGCAATTTGGCGTTAAAAAGGCTATTGGAATAAGCATTACATTGAGGAGAGAAGATAATCTGGAATTGATGGAATGATTCTATAATAATAGACCTAATGAATGAGGTTATATGAAACGTATAAATGTACTGCGAATGGGGAAAAAAACTCCCACACTAATTGAGAAACAGTTGGTGGTTCAATGCTTCAACATAAGAAACTTTCTCAGTTGGAGATGGATCACTTTTACGCTGCACCCCAGATGAAAGAAGAGATACGTAGGCTACAAACTGAAAAGTTGGAAATTACTTTCCAATATCCCTGTTTTAAAGCAGAGCAGTTGAAATGAAACAGAAAAACATGAATAAAATGGCCATCGAGAAATTCTACGTAGGCTCGGTGATTGCCACTATGATAGAAACTAATGAATTGCTTACTGTCACAGCCACTGTAATTTTCGAAATGCTGGGGTAAGAAATCAAGAAGAATGATAATGAATTCGCCCATGGAAAATAAGGTCAGAACACAAAGCAAAGAAATTAATCAGCTGACAGAATTAGAGAAAGGTTAAATAAAAATATGTCGATGCTGGAAAAGCTATACCTCCTTAAAATCCCTCTAGGCTTACAACACTGACCATTAGATTAAAGAGGCTAAAACGATAAATATCCTTTGCCCCAAGGAACCGTCCAAGGTATACTTTCAATTTCAATACAATAATGTGGCAACAGTACCACCAGCAGCAAAAACTATGCTATACTGGAAAAATATATGGAAGATCAATAACATCAACGTAAAATGGCTGCTAGATCTGTGAACAAATCACAGCAACTTTCCAGAGCAGGAATTAGCCACCATCATAATTAATAATCACCAGTAGCGACTGAAAAATATGGAAAGTTAGATAGCACTTGGTCCGGATGTGATTCACACCTACTGGTTAAAGAATGTAACGATGCAGAGGAACCAGCTGCTTGTGGTAGGCTCTCAAACTGGTTAATACAGGAAAGGACGGTATTGATCATGAAAAACCGAGAATACCGTGAAACTACCGACCAATAGCCCGTCTACCCGCAGCGTGGAAAATCAGGCATCATAGCTTCATGATTATACAAGCGAGTATATCAGTTCAGTTCAAAAAGGGCCATGCCTTACAGCCATATAGCAACATCGAACGAATCACAGTTATATAGACGCGGAATTTAGTTTTGATGGTGATTTCGCGACGGGTTTCGTCAACCGGAAGAAGGCATTTCTAACTGTCGTTATCCCAGTTGTAATTTCGTCGTTTTTGTCTGCCATTTAGTATTACAGTGGATCCAAGATATTTAAAATTGGGCACTTCCTCAGCTATTAAAGAATAAGATATAACAGGAGGCATTTTAAGACGAAAGTGGTTTTAAATAGGCCATGTCTATTACCAAGTCTATTGCATAGTTGAATACTGTAGGCGAAAGGACTCAGCCTTAACGGACACCAGTTGGCTTCTTATTTCCGAGTTTATCAATCTCCTACATATGCAGACTTGCGTTGCTGATAAAATGCCTTTATGAGTCGAGTGATCTTCTCTGGAAAACAGTCGCATTCCATCATCCTTTAAAGCGCCGTTCTGCCAATTGAATCGAAGGCAGCCGCAATGCCGATGAAAGCCGACATAGCAATGGGTTGCGTATATTTGAAACGATGTTTCAACACCCTTCTTAACGTGAATATCTGGTCAGCACAACCGCACCCCAATCTGAATCTAGCTCGATTAATGTGTACCCTGCTGCCCCATACTCCCATAAGTCTGTTGAGTAACAGGGAAACAAAAATTTTTGCTGACATTTCTAGTAGGCTGATTCCTCGATAATTATCGCAGTATGTCCTGTCAGCTTTCTTGGAAAATGGGAGCAGAATTGCTTCGCTTCAATCACCTGGTAATATTTTCTTTTTTCCATACTAAAGAATATATTTGTTGAAGGTGCATTATGAAGGAAGATGGATAATATTTGAAGAATTCCCGAAGATCATTTTCTTCTAGAGCCTTATTGGCCTTAAGCTTATGGATAACGGAGATTATTTCTTCTTCTGTTGGCTGCTCGCAGTTGCATACATATGGTTTAACGAACATATTAGCTATGTCCAGATCAACTGAGATAGTGCATCATGGTTAATTTCTGCTTCGAAGAATTCCTTCTACTTTATGAGGCTATTTTTAATATTCTTAATAAGTATGCTATTGCTATCGTTGACCATTTTACGTTCCTCTAATAGCTAATAGTTGCATTATGAAGAAGGCGGAATAGTTTCCTATCATCGCCTAACCGGACTGCCGCCTACATTCACAAGGCCATGATGTTTCGGAGACATTTCTTTAGTCTGCACCATTATTCGCTTGCCGTTCCAGAAAATTCATTGATATTTATATCACTGAACTGTTTCAATAATTCGGTTTGAAATACTATTCCCGAATCTTTTAGTTAGCGATAGTTGAAGGATCTTGGGCGACGCTATCTATTTTTTGCGAGTTGTCAATTTTATGCGGACCATGACATGGTCAGATCCATGAAGATTGCAGTGCAGCGGTAGAAACAATAAGAATAATAGGCTATCTAGCACGGAACTCTTCCAGTGGTGACTGATTAAAATATAATAATCTGGTTAAAGTGTTGGTTATCCGGGGAGTCCAAGGTATTTCCCCAGATGCAAATAGTAACAAAAAAATGTTCTTTGGTATAGCGAAAAGAGTGCTCCACATTGACGGACCGGTTTCTGATGCCATATTTGCAAATTGTCGAGATCATCGCAGCAACATTACATTGCTCGCATTCCAGTCTCCTCCGATTATGACAATGGCATGTTTCGGGACTCTGTTAGCAGTTGAAGTTCCACCCATATCTTTATCAATGTCATTTGCAGTCATTGTGAAATCCTACCAATGGCTGGAAAAAGCCGTATTAGAAAAGCTAGAAAAGTAGCTTCAATTGATTCCAGGAACACCATCGATGATTTCTATCTAAATGAATGCAATGCTAGAAACATTTAAGATAAGACCCTCAATCTCCCTTGCCTCTGGTATATATACCGAGGTTGTGGATGAACATGACCACCTATAAGGGAAAAATTTTTTTTATACCATTTCATTTTAGCATTTTTCGATTTATTAAAGCTATGATTTAAAATTTCAGCTTTATACTATCAATTCAAATATGAAGCATTTGGAGAGATAACATAATACTTATTTTTTTCTTAAATATCTCTTATAGCAAAATTTTTTTATGCAAATAAATTAATTAGCAATAATCATACGTAAGGTGATTTTTTCACCAGATTCAGGTGGCAAACTGAATCCTAACACATTGCTTAATGAGATAAGCACACTTGGAATGATCCAGTTCAATCCGTAATACATTTTTTTACGCCTCAAATGTAATTTGTAATGTAGCTCGATATAAGTTTCTTCAATAAATTCACTTACAATTCGATATGCTGGTGCACCTTTAAGATGAAATGCATAAATGAATAATAAGATATTTGAAGGATTAAAACGGAAATCATTTGACTGATTTCCTTTGTTAATGATTTAAGAAGTGAATCAAGCACTATTTTCGAAAGATATTTGGAAGATGCAATAAGAATTTTTTGAAAATCTAAAAAATTTCGAAATTTTTCTAGAATAATTAAAATTAATTAGCATATAGAATTAATCGAATAGTAGAAGATGAAAAAAGAAAATTTGTTTCAAATCAGAACGAAAATTTAGTTGATAAAATTTAATAAACAAAAATCTGGCGAAAAAGAAAAAAAAAACCAACTAAGAAGGTCCCATTCACCATTTTGCACATAATAAGTTAAGTCCATTTGAGAGTTCTTATCGGTGCCCGGATCATCGATATGAAGATCAAGTTTATTTCCTGTGTAAGTCCAAGATCCGTACTAAATTTGTACTAAAATTAGCCAGCTGTTTGGATTGTTTTTTCTCAATAATCTATCTCTATCTAAATTAATTTTTGGTTTCTAAATCTTTTCCTTCCATTAATCTCCGAATTAAAAATATTTTTCAATCATCCAATTTGCTGAAAAACGCTAAACTCTAATTTTAGAGGACTAAGAAAAATTTCAGGAAGAAAATATATTATATAAAATTTTACCCGTAAATTGCAGATTTGCTCATCAAATGGGAACCAAGTGATGTCGATTTCGCATGAACTTTTAATAATGCCAGGAGGAGCAATTAGTATGTCACCGGTATGCTTAACAATTATATTCACCGGAAAACTCGCATCAAATTTTTCATCAGCGCTGCAAATGCCATCAGTATTACCATTGCTAATCTTGCAGTCAAGAATTTGCACAAACCAATCCTCTGCTAACAATACTCATGACTTATGATTCGGTTGTCTGCAATGACTTCGAATGAGACTTTTTCAATGAGTCACTTGGAGATAGAAGTGTATTCAATCGCGATTTTTACGAGAACAATTCTCTTTTAATTCTTTTTTGATTTTCGCGAAAAGGTAGAAGTCATGGTCAACTTCAGCCGAAATATATATCTAATGTTATTCGGTATTCCGTCAAAATTTTGACAAATTTTAATATTCTGTCAAAATTTTGACAAATTTTGACAATTTTAACAAAATTCCATAGATAATTGTGAAAGGTTGAGCTTGACCTTTAAATCCTAAAATCCTTAATACATATTTCGACGAACATAACTAACTTAGTATTAGTATTATAACTAAAACCGATATTAAATGTGATCAGAAAACTGAGCAATATTCATTGTTAATCTGCTTTCTTTGGGCAAAATTGTTTAATTTGTTCAAATTAAATACCTATTAAAAAGTAAAACATCAGGTTTCCAAATTATGTTGCTTGACGATGGAAATCGTATATCTTTGATCCCACCATATTCTTCCGGATCCCACTTTAATTTATAATCACTCCAAGTCTTAATGAAATATTGATGATCAGTTTAATTTAAAAAACTTTAATTTAAACTTTAAATTAAATTCAAATTAAATTGAATTTTGAAATTTAATTTTAATTTTTAAATTGAAATTTTTAAAATTTAATTGATTTTAAAATTTTAGATTTAAACTTCGCTCAAAATTTCATTTTAAATTTTTTAATGTGCAAGTAGCGGTCGAAATTTACAAAATATTTTTTAAGATTCAATCATTTCTAATTTCATTATTTTTAAAAATTTGGTTCTTTTTCGGATTGAAAGAAACCAGTCTTTCAAGAATCCGAATAGTATTCACGAATCATCAGCACTTCTATCGCTGAGTGGCCTCCCCGGCGAAATTTATTAGATGATCCAGAGGAACTAAGCGAAAAGGTAAGAAAATGTATTTAAAGCGAATTCCACAGTTTTAAGCTTCATTATTTTCAATTCTTTTTTTGAATCCATCTGTTTAGAAGTAAAACTCTTTTCTTCAAGTATAACGCAAAGAGAGCTAAAATTAACTGAAGGATTAACAAATAATTTTTTCCCCTATTGTTTTATACACTGACTAGCGCAATGATTTTTTTCAAACACTGGATTAGTTTAATAAGAATTCAAGTAGGTTTTCTTCCCGTTAGACTCCATTTTTTCGTATGAGAAAAATTCAGTCAATTTAGCGAATTTTGTATATTTTTTTATCGCTCACCATAAACCAAATTTTGTATTTTTGAGATTGGTGTTTACTGTTGATTTTACGAATCCAATATTAATAAATTTGATATAATCAATTTTAAATTTTATTTTGCATAAAAGATAAAAAATTATCAGTTCTAATCTTTTAGAAAAATCGAAATTTGACTTATTTAATCAGAAAATTTAAATTAATTCAAATTCTTGGATTTGACCATAATTATTTGTAAGATTTTTCAAATCACTTTTAATCTTCTTAGAACTTCTTTTTATTTAAACTATCCTAGTGATTTTTAAGAAAAATGAGAAAAGCAATTTTGGTAAAGAAAAGAAAAATAAAAATTACGAAAAATTGACGAAATCATTATAAAATATTTACCTATAGATTAAATGAGTTTAATTTTTAAACCAATTTGCAAACAAACCTGTTGCATCCATAAGACCAAAGTAATTACTTGATTCTTCTCGTCCTTAAAATCATTTTGCTAATGATTTACTTATTTCGGAAATAAATGATATAAACATATTGTTTTAGTTATAATCAAAATTTCACTATAAAAATTAAATTTTAATGCTGTTTTGTGCTAAAAAAAATTAGATAATAGGCATGCAAATATATTGTTGTAAGCATGATTGCCTATTAGTAAAAATGAAATCAAGATAATGCTCTAGTAAGAATGAAATATCGCGACTACAATACTAATAAAATTTTGAATTACAATTAAATTTTTGTTTGGTGCTGTCGTGCTTAATGAATTTTACCAGCTGTTCATGCAAAAAACTCATTTTCATGGAACTGTGTTTGCAACGAAATGTTTGATAGGAATAAATTTTTGCATTAAAAATATATATATATATATATAAATATTTAACAAAAATATAAATTTAAAAAATAATTAATAAATATAAATTGTATAAAATAAAAATTTTACCAAGTCAACAAGTTGTTGTAATAATATTCTAAGTTTTACAACAACTGGTTCGCTATGATTATATACGGGACGTTCAATTGGATCATAATTTTTTCGTAGATCTTGTATTAACCGATATTCGTCATCACTTGCATAAATGATTGGAAAAATTACAAAAAACTGTAGAAACATATACGTATAGAATTGAAAAATTATGCTGAAAAAAACTTCTTCGACAACTATTAAACTATATCATAAAGTGATAGCTGATAAGCTATTAAAAATTTTGTTAAATGCGATTTGTAGGTATATTTTAGCCTACAATAGATGAAATTTTCGGCCACCAATGCTATTTAATGAAATTTCAATTTCAAATTTTATCAAATCAAAAATTTTGATTTCATCGCCTTGAAAGAGCATATCAGATTACAAATGTAATAAATGAGAATCTCACGTTGTCACAAAAAATTCAACAATTTTAATACCATTTTGTTAGTAAAGATTATTCATTAATAATAATACTCTACTCGTTCAATAAGGAATTGATAATGATGACTGACCACGAACAATACTGTTACCGAACATTAATGAAATAGAAGAAATGAAGTCTGATACTACTTCGAATATTCAACGTTGAATGAAAATAACTGAGAAAGGCCCCATGGCTGCTCTTATTTCAATATGTCTTTACTGATATTCTTGGAAAAAATAAGCCTATCTTTAAAAAATGGGATAATATTGGCGATTTACCTGTACTTTTATCGCTAATAGTTTCCCTAGCAAAATTTGTCTGATGCAACAAACCAGTGGAGCGAAAAAACCAGAAATGGTGAGAAAAAATAACTAAATGAAGGCACTAATTTGCACTTTAAGCCAAATTATCTCCGATTTGATTCATTTAGTGAAAAACTTTCAACACTGAAAAGGTAATTCGTGAAATCAGGTCAATCAAGATGAAAATGAATTTTGACCAAAATAAGTTTTTCTCGAATAGAATTTTTTGCAAATCTTGTTAAATTTAAGGATTTTAGCTAATTTCGGTGAGAGAGGATTTTACAAAAATTATGGAAAAATTGCTGTCGTCTCTTATTGATTCTTCAATTTTTGAAAAATTTTGAAGAAATATTTAATGGAATAAAATAAGACGATTAGAATCAATTAGAAAAGAGAATTATATTTAAATGCCATAATATTACCAACTTTAAAAACAACAATTACAAAGAGTAAATAAAAGATTTCGACAGTAAGTAAACATTACTAATAATACTTAAGAGTATAATTGCAGTATCTTTTGTTATTTCTCAAATTGTTTCGTTAAACTGTAATAATCTAGTTCGGCGACTTAAGGCGACTTTTGTTTGATGATATTTGAAGACAATGAGACATTTCCTCTCATTAAGAGTAACGATAAATATAATTAATTTTTTGAAGAGATGCAAAAATCTACTTTAAATCTATTTAATGTTTTCAGTTTTCGAGTCAATTTTAAGTCAAATAGGGCATTTTAAGTCAAATAGGACATAGGGAATAATCCTGGCTGATTTATCTCACTGGCTATTTGGACGAAAACGCTTTGCCACAAGATATCATTAGGATAAGAAATACAGGTGGATATCCAACATCGCTACATTTCGCATTTAATCGTAGGCTTTTTGCTTTTATGATAGAAAAGAATTAGGTAGATTTTTGATTTGGTCTTAGCCGGAATTATCATATGTAAATGTTGAACGAATCTTCATGCAGATGTTAATCATGCAAGTATAAATCGTCTTCGTTATAGCCTTATAGCCTTGAAGCCTAGAGATTTTAATCTCTCATATTTTTACCTATATATTTTATCCAAATTTCACGCTTTTTAGCATACTTTATAGAACAATATTGATAAAGAATTTGTTCGAACTTTATTCAATTATTTTATATATTTCATACATTTTTTGTTTCTTTTTGTGAAAACAATTTTGCATAATAGATAAAATATTTAATAATATAATATTTGGTGAAAGAGCAGTAGAAAATTAAAATAAACGATTGAAATTATTAGCGATACAAATAGAAATGATTATTTCTTAATTTATCGCCCATTATTTTTGATTATAACAACATGCGGTAAAAGTCATCTTATAAACATTATCATAGTTTCGCAATAAGAGATTGAATCCACCGGCTGTACCCAATTGAATATATTTTTTATAGACACCAGCTTCTTTATACATCTAAAAAAATATAGATTAAAAAATTTAGAGAAATTCTAATCAGAGAAATTTTTTAATCTAAGCGATTTGCTAGAATTAACTGTTGGACTCTTATTTTTATCTTTAATAAAGTTAGTCAAATCAGAATCAATCAGTACCATTAAAAGACTAAAATATTTCATGATAAATAAGTAAGTTTGAACTAAAAAAATTTATTTAATTTATTCTCTAAATTTATTTAATTTTATAAATTTATTAAATTTTATAATTAAATAATTATATAATTAAATTTATAATTAAAATTTATATAATTAAATTTATTTAATTTTATAAATTTATTTAATTTATTCTCTATTAAATAGAAATATTGTTCAACTCAGTTTAAGGGAAATTCTAAAACTTTGAAAGTTATTTGATTAAAATATTGGTAATATTGGTACATCGTTAATCGAAACATTTATTGGTACGGCTACGCTGACATATGTTGGTATGAATTCACTCGGGCAAATACCACTGATACCTGGCATAATACAGTAGTCGCCGGAAGGCCATGATAGTTTATCTTGTACCTTTTCTAAAAATATTTTTTGATTATTTGAAGTTGCACATCACTTTTTTTCTCTAAGTTCGCTTATCACTCTACTGATTAAGCTCACTCGGTTTACTTGTCGGACCAGTTTTACCAAAGAATCTCTTAACGATAGAAATGTAAGTGAGTCATTTTTAAAGGGCATCCTCAACGTTCTAGTCTCTAATCAACAACCCACTGAACTTTTCCTTCTCTGCCTTCATCGTTTGGTGATATTGCTGCACGATAAAACATGGTGAACCCTCCGGCTTCGAAACCGAGCCATTCTCGATTCTCGGTATCAATTATCTTGCCATTAATCCATCTTTTAAGAGAAATTTTTTTAGTTAAGATTTAAATTAAGAATTAAGAACTACCATTTTGGGGCATAACGATTTCAATACATCGTTTATGACGGATGAATTCTAAAGTTATTCATAGAATTGCTTTTTTGTCGTTAATGGATGAGTTTCTCTCTGATGATAGAAAATTCCCATTATGATTTAAAATGCTAGTAATACAAATTTCAAAAATCAACCAAAAACAATAATGCCATGTTCCATGTTACTCGAGTTTTAAGGCTTGGTTTTGCCTTATATACAAATAATAATATTATATTAATGTAATATATTAGTATAAATTAATTAATCTGTGGGTGATAAATAAAAATTTTAAAAATAAGTACCACAAAAATATGCGAAAAAAAAATATATATTAACGGGCAAATATTTTACCATCTAAAAAAAATGATTGATGCTCCCGATTAAATGGAATATAACCAATGATTCGAATTGCAATCATCTTTATCTTTCCCGCTTAGCGTCTTTGAGCGAGAACCCTTATAAGCTTATCTGCCTTATATCAATCTCCTAGGCCTTCGATTAGAGGACTCTGGATTGAAGTTGACTCATATCACCCACAGATGATGGGAAAGAAGGTTTTCAATTGCGGTGAATATTTACTCTTCGCTTCCGTTGTTCTTATTGAACGTCCATTAGCAGTATGTCCAATATCTTGCTCGTCTTCGTTAAAAAATGATAAGGGCATTGGTCGAGGATTGCAAAATTGCAGAAAAATATTGAGCAACAAGCAATAATAAGCAAAGTACATGTAGGAAATAAATCCTGAAATATTTCGATTTATTTATTATTTTAAACGATTTTATTAAAAAAAAAAAATATTTTTCGTGAAATATTTTGGCAAATTGGTGAATAGTAAATGTTAAGAAATTTGTGGAAAGTTTAATTATAATTCTTTGATCATATTTTTCAGTTATTCTTTGTTTGTTCTACGAAAAATGTTTGCATCAAAATTTGTAAAATTTATGGAAAATGGCAACAATAATATGAAACAAAATTTCATCTTTGATTTTTATATTCGATTTATTGCCATTTGTGCTTTCATAAATCAGCAGATAACTCTTTGATACTCTTCGAATTGCAATTATCATCTTTATTTTCTCGCTGATAAATCTTTGATAAAACTTAAAACTCATTAAAAATCAGACGGCTACTGGGTAGTTGATCTACGCTACGATAGCCAAATAGACTGACTCTTTGGCGATTGGTTCTCATCTCATAATAGACGATCTAATCAGCAGTGATTATTATGCTGTAGTTAAAATAAATGATATATAATATATTTTTGATTTCATTTGCCGATTAAAGTAAAAAAATTCAAATCAGGACAAAACATCATTAAAAATTTGGTAATTCAAATGGCTAAGAAGTATTTTTTCCCAACATATAAAATTAGAAATCTAACGAATTTTTAGGCGATTCAATATAAATTTTATTAGAATATTTAGAAAAAAAGTTTGCAAGCATAATCCGATTATCAAACATTGCACTATTAAAGATTAAAAGTAAGGGAAAATAATTGTGTCATAAAAACTTGTCCATCAGGATTTTTTTTTTTTTTTAAGAGTCTTCACCATTACTGGTTAAACTCGCTCCGCTAGCTTGTCGCATTAGACAAATGTGCCAGGAAGTCCCTTGACGATAGAAATACAACTGAGTCGCATCACCGAGGTTTTTGGACAGGTTTACCTCCTGCAGGAACCGCAATATCTACGTTCCGAATTGAGTAACAATCTACTGAGCCATTCTACCTCTTATCCTGCACGATTATCGCCATTAGATATAAAAGTGCTTAGCGTTTATAGCTTTTGGTTAGGCCCACTCTTAATTTTTGCCAAGAAATGATTATTTGCCCCGAGATTGTGGTAAGGTCCGAGCTCTGGCATTTGAGGCGAAAAACTATGCAACAAATATTTGGCTATACCTCCTTTTTATAGAATAAATCTCATATGTACTATATTTCAAATATTGCTTTATAAAATGTAGACATTAAATTAAAATATAAAAAATAAAATATAAAATGTTTAGTAAGATCGTAAAATTATTTGGTCACATATGAGCATGAAATTGAGACATTTAAATACGACTAAAATAATCTTTTAGTGATAAATAACGAAAAAAACCCTCTCATTCGCTTATCAGTTATTGAAATAATTTAATCATATGCGATCCATTTCATTTTCATTATCGGCTAAAACGAAAATTTTCTTTTTTTCTTTGATAACTAATGCATTCATTTATTACTAAAGGCGAAAAAGATTTAAAAAGTTAAAGGCCTTAATGTTTTAAATTTAAACACGAAAGAAATTCATTTTTTCTTGGTGAAAAAGTTGGAATATTTTTTCAACTGGAAACCGGCAGACATTTTTAAAGTATTTTTAAAACAAGGGAATGAACAAGGAAAGAGTTGAAAAAACTTCGTCATTTAGACAAAAGTGAAAATTTAGATTTTAACGTTCTGATAATAATTTCTGATAAGTAATAAAAAAAAATCTAAATGGTAATTCTAAATGATGAATTTCATTGCTCAAATTTTAATTTTAAAAAATAGGAATAAGAAAATAAGAAAAAATTTTAAAAAAGCATGAAAAATTTTGCAAAATAAACAAAATCTATTGAACGATAAAAATCTAAGATAAATGTCTAAAGCATGTTTGCATATTTACTTTAGCTTGCTTTTATCTTCATCTTTTTCGATTCCGATAACTGATTCCGATAAAATAAGGTGCTTTTATTGTAATCAATTAAAGGCTGATAAAAGCACGAATAAATCAGCTAGCACTAGGATTTATGCTATTTATTGTAATCAATTAAAGGCTGATAAAAGCACGAATAAATCAGCTAGCACTAGGATTTATGCTATTTTTCATGGTAGACTTATGGTAGACTCATTAAAGATCAAAAGCCATACGTTGAATAGTTTGATCTGAGCTGAAGTTGAATATTAGATAACCATTTAAAAAATGCCTAAAGCCTTTGGCGTTTACTATAGAGAAATAGTAGCGAAATTGGTACTCGATTCGTTTATAAATTTTATTAGACGTAAAAATCCATGCTTGTGATTTATTTGAATGAATACTGTAATGAAAAATTGAATTAAACAAAAGGAAACGAATAATGCTCATAAAAAAAATAATTTCAACAAGAATAGATCAATTTTAGGTGGGCGAAAAAAAAAAAGTCGTGATAATGTCGTTATCAGCTAAAAACGATGTGAAGATATGACCCACTTAATGCTATTATCAGTAAAAAATGGTGTGAAGACATTTATTTATCAATAAATTAACAATTTTAACCAGCAAATCAACAATTTTACTGTATCGGTTCATATTCTTGAATATATAAATAATGGAAATACACTGGCATAATATATTGCATTCATCATGGCGAGTTCAACTGCAACGATGATTTGTCATCAAATTGATACATTATCATTTGTAATCATTTTTTCTATACTATGAGAAACAAGACTAATCAACTTCCAGGCTGTGCCATTCCAGAAATTCTCATGTGTTTTTGACGTATATTAATCAACCTGAAATTGAATCATTACCATCTCATAAATGTAGATTTCTATCGTATTATATTAGAAGTGATAGCTTTCTGAACAACACCGATGTCCCCAAGGAGGAATACTGCAAAACTGCAGAATATTGGTACTTTAGTGATATCATTACTGAATAGAAATGCAGCGAAGAGATCTTGAACGTATAGGCGGTCAATCGACATATGAATTTATACGATAGAAAAATGAATAGGTATGGCATAGAGTGAGCTGAAGGTACCCCAGTGGCATGCGGGGTCAGCCTAACTAGTAATGGTACTAGCTGTTTTCTAATAAATAGATTCGTTCGATTCAACAAGTTATTCCACCAAGCATACTACTAATTTCCAATGTGCTTCGAAATAACTAGTAAAAGCTAACCGAAGCTATTTATTACGCTAGCAAATACTTTAAAACCATCCGAAGCTGTGGCCGAAGCCGATATTTAGCACATTTCAAAAATTTTCTAATTTTCAATTTTGTTTTTTTTTATATTATTTGTATTTTGTAAATTAAGGTAATTTTAGCAATGAATATCGATTTAAATGCGTGGAATTTGCTGATTTCGGCGTCGGAAGCAAAAATTATGCGAAGTTCCACAAAGGCGGATGAGAATTGTTTGGAAAAATTGTGGAATTCTGGGCGAATATTTAGTGATTCGCAATGGCAGTGGTTTATTCAATTTGTTGATTTAATAAATGAATTATCAGTGAAATGCGTCGAAGAGATCGATGCTATTACGATTAATTTCAGGTTGGATTCTGTCGTAAACGAGGATTTTTTGAGAAGTCTAATAATTGGCTAGCGAAAGTAAAGCGAAAGATTTCTTCGTGTTTGAAAACTTTAGGCATTTGAGCTTAAAATAGCATTTGCATTAACAAGTGCCATCAGAGAACGTCGCCTTCGCTGATTAGAGCACATTCTTTATCGTACACTACAAGAATTGACGCATATTTCACTACTTGCCGAACGCTATGATGATTGGCATTAAAAAGCTGGGAGAGCCAATGTCAATCTGGACTGGTACAGTTCACGAGGAATTTTGAACATATTTAGAGGTACCAGCGATATGTGGACGTAAACAGTGCAAAAACGAATGGCTTCTCATTATTATCAGTGATAGCATCAAATTGTGCAGCTTGGAAATGCCTTATCCTTATAGCCAGCGGAATTAGCCTAACTAGTAACGTTGAGGGGGGATTAGTTAGTTTAAGCTCGTGTGTCAAAGATTTTTTCCATTGAAAAATAAAACACCAAAAAAATATGAGTAGAATTTTTAAATATATTTTCCATATAAGTTGTTTTATTTAATGCTTTATGAATGCTTCCATTTTCTCACAATTATCGTTTGCTTAAAAATTGTGAAGAGAACAGAAATCGGTTAGCCTATTTAGCCTATAATATAAAGAGGCCATGGTTTTCATCGCATATTTCGCTACTTGCTAAGGCCTATAATGTTTATCGTCAAAAGCGAGGAGGTACCAGCGATGACCTCGACTGATACAATCAAAAAAAATTCTGTAAGATCCGTCTAGCTGGCCCAGTGATATATGAAGTTAGGTAATAGAAAAAGGAGTTTAGATCTCTATTTTTTAAATTTCATGAGTGCAAGTTCTTATTTTTTATTTTTAGAATTGGTATTTCGAAATATTTTATTCGTTTTCGACGATCTAACGATTTTCCTCGTAGTTCGCCTATTGTTGAATCAACTTTGAAGACGGCTTTTAAATTCCATTGGTCCAATTCAAGTAGTCTAATTTCAGTGTACATGGAATATAGCGATACTTGTATTAGGTATTTTCCTAATTTTTTCTTTTTTCTACTTTTTAAATTTTTATAAAAAAAAAATTCATTGCTGTTATTTGATTAGAAGGCAAATTTGGCAATGAAGTGAAAATAGACTTTTAGAATAAACGAAGCTGTCGCTGAATGCTCAGATGTTCCTTATCCTATCAAATTCAATAAATGGGAATTGGATTTTGAAGAAAATGAATGCATAAAAGTAGAAAATTTATTATTTAACTCATTTATTTTAATTCATTTGATTTAAATATTTATCAACCGGATTATGCTGGTAATTTATCTCTATTTTTTTCATCAGAATTATCAACTGCAATAAACTGCTGTACCGAATCTAACCAAAAATGGTGAATGGTCTTAAGAGAAAGTATTCACCAGCATCGGTGATATTTTCAATTTTTCTTAATTTATAAATCTTCTTCTAATAGCTCTCACCATTACTGGTTAGGCTGGCTCCATCTGCTACAAGGGTAAGATGCTTCCAAGCTGTACAATCTGATGCCATCGTCGACAGTAACATAAGCCATTCCTTTTTCCATCTCTAAATTCATATGTTGCTGGTCCACCTATACGTCCAAAATCTTTTCTGACCGTGTCAGTGCCCAGGTCTTGATTGGCCCACCCCGCCATCCATCACACGGTTTATCAAGTAACGAAATATGCGACAACTCTTGTGGTGGACGACGGAGAACGTGCCCTAATCAGCGAAGGCTCTGTGATAACAAAAAGAAGGTTATTTATGCAAGTGGTATTCGAACGAAGGTGGATGTGATCATATGCTATTTTATCCGCTCGACAGACCCGTAAAATGTACCTTAGACAAGAATGGTCAAAGGTAGATAGCTTCTTAATATCCTCCACTTTCATTGGCAATGTCTCAGAACCACATGGCAAGATCGAACGAATCACAGCTATATAGATGCGGGCTTCAATGGTAATTTTGCTACAGCTTTATGCAGGTTTCATCAACCGGATTCTTAGCTGCCATGATTTATAATATCGTCTTTTGCCTGGCCATTAGAGTGGATCCAAGATATTTAAAATCGGGCTTCCTCAAGTGGCAATGAATTTAAAAAAAGGCATTTTATCAGGTTCTTTTACATAAGACGAAAAAACTTTCGTTTTATTTAGATTACCCTGAGTACGATTCTTGGTGCAGTTTCTGACACGTTATTTAGCATTACTTGCATTTCATCATCATAACTGTTAAGCAAAAAAGACCACATCATTTGCATATTCAAGATCTGTGATACGATGATCTGGGCTGATTTGGACACCCTTTGAATACCGACAAACGGTTTCCATTACCCAGTCTATCGCATAGTTGAATATTGTAGGGAAAAGGACACCAGTTTTTATTTCGAAGGAGTCAATTCCCCATATACATAGGCCAGTGCTCATAAAATATCTTTATGAGTCGAATGATTTTCTCTGGAACACCGTCGCATTCCATCACTCTTCAAAGTGCCTCTCTATCAATTGAATCAAAAGTAGCCGCAAAGTCGATGAAATACTTTTCAGTGAGTTGCAAATATAGCTTCAAGCTTTGTTCTAACATCCTTCTTTGAATATCTGGTCAGCATAGCTATGCCTTGGTCTGAATCCAGCTTAATTAGAGCGCATCCTGTTATCTCGTACTTCCATAAGTCTGTTGAATATAAGGCAAGCAAAAATTTTCGCTGGGACGCCTAGACTGATTTCTCGATAAATGTCGCAATATATCCTATCCTTTCTTGAGAATTGGGAACAAAATTGCTTTATTCCAATTTATAAATAATGGATCAAATAATGGATCATTTCTTTTTTTCCTTCTGGTTTTATCAATTTTTTTGATAAAGAAAAGACGAAAATAATGAGATTTTTTTTTTAGCTATACTTTGATATTTTCGATGATAATGATTTCTCCAAAAATTGTACATTCATTTGTATTGTCAGTTGGTTAGAACCGAGGATGTTTCCTCGTTTACTCGATTGTTCAAATCCATCTTATCTACGAGGACGCCGTTTTGATTTGTGGGATTGCGATCTTCCTTTTGCTTACAATTTTTCTCGCATATTTTTGGGTAAAATGCATAATTTTTGAAGAAAGGTCATCATTTATTCGATTTTATTTCAATACATTTTTTCTTTCTATTCATTGGTTATATAATTATACATTGCTTTTATTGAATTTGTGAAATGTTGACAAAATCCGTGGAAAATAAATGACAGAATTATTTTTTCTTTTTATCAGAACCTTTTCAAGTTTTATCGCTGGATTTTTGTTACATAGATTTTTGTTAATATCATTTTACCCATTTTCTTTCGAATTTCAGTTATGTTTCCTTGTTATGATTCGTATTAATATGTATTTTATGTATGTATTTCCTCTCTTTATAATGCCTCAGGTTATCCTAAATGTGATTTGTTTTGAGGATTATCAGTTTGCTGATTAGTTTAGGTTTTTTAAATAAAAAATATTTCAATCAGTAGTCGGTTTTGGATTTGATTCTTGATTCATGGGATCTCAAAAAATTGGTATTTTGACTTTAGAAATTTTATTTTATGAACTATGGTCTGAATCGTAGTGATGGTTTCTTGACTGATTTCTTGTAGAAACTTTTTCTTGCTTAATTTTTCTATCGCTATTTTATATATCTTTCGTTTCGTTATTGGCGCATTTTTATATATTCTGCCATTCTAGCCCTCTTAAGCTGTAAGATTTTAAATTTGAGATTTTGATGGAAATTCCTCCAGGCATATCTTTCACACAAAATGAAAAAATAGAGAGTACAAAAAAAGAGGAAGTTGAAGTCCATTCGGTACCATGCAAAATTGAATATACTGGACCAGCTAATGTGAAACGCTATTTACTTCGGGACAAACTTGAAAGTATGTTTCTTCCGAAATATCTTCAAATTCGAAAATTATTTTCAGGAAATAATTGAAGATAATGGCGCTGATGACTAATTTTTGAGTTATTTCAAATAATATTACGATCATTAAATTTTTAAAAATTTTTTAAAGGCGGTGAAGAAATAACGACATTCCGTGGCCGGTTACTTAATGGATCAATTGCCGAAATGCCTAATGATTATAAATTGTTTGTTGCCAAAGAGTGTGACGGACACGGTAACTTTTTTTTGTGGATTTTTTTTGAAAATTTTAGAGTTAAATCTTAGGATTTTTAGGATTTTTTCTTTACCATTTTCATTAAGTTTCAATAAATACCATCTTCCTATTGCCTTATACAGGTGTGCTTGCAGGAGAAGAACGAAGATTTGATGTTGAACGTGTATTAAGTTCATTTTTATTATGGGAATATGATCGGCCTTCCTCGGAAAATTCACCAATCCGACGTGCTATTAACTTTATAAATATTGCTGAAGATTTGGCAGCGGATGATTAATTTTTGAAATATTTTGAGTAAATGGTTTATATGAGCAAAAGTGATGGCAAAACATTTTCTGTGTGTTCTACGGAATTATTTGCAGAACCTACGTGGCGTGGCGTTCATTATAATTTGTTCTTCTTCGAAAATTTGTGGAACAAGGATTAGACTAAACGAGATCAGACCACGCTCTTTTTCATTTATTATTCTGCATTATATTCTGTTTGCATTATATTTTTTTATAAAAATGTTGAGAAATGAATAAAAATTTGGTACTATAACGAAGATGCTTGATGCTTGAATTAGGATTGCCTTTCGTGCTACTTAAGATCTTCCTTTTTCTATTTGATTTTCGAAAGTTTTTTAGCGGCTAACTGAGGTGTTAAAAACTTACTATTTACTATTGTTATTCAATACTATTTTTATTACCGTTATTTCATACTACTTTCTTTTTACTATAATATACATATTCTAGTTGTCGTGTAATTTTGTATTTGAAAAGTGGAAATCTATGATGTTGCTTAGAAGAACAATTTGAATTTTCAGACATCGACAGAGATTCTTATGAGGTGTTTCCTCACATTTTTCATAATTTTTCGATGTAAATCACTGGTTCGTTTTTTTGATATTTTCCTTATATATAAATAATTTAATAATACATAAGTAATAAATAAGAAATAAAATTTAAAATTTTATTTTGATTTATTTTTTCAGAAAATAATAATAATTATATTTCTAATGGATTTTAGAAAAGAATTCTAGCACTTATGGAATTTTTTTTTTTTTTTTTTCAGGTATATGCTGAACCAGTTAGTCTTATTATTGGTAGTGGTGCCATTATAGCAGTTTCACTCTTTTCATTCTTTAGTAGATGTGCTGTGTATGAATGTTGCAGTGAAGGATGGATTCAGTTGAGAATAGCCGGTTAGCTATTATATCATTTGCACGAATTGTTCTTTTAGATTTTTTGTGATATTTGATGTAATTATTTTTAAATTAGATATTTTAAAAATTCTAATGGTTTTAATTGATCGCATTTAGCTTATCGTACTTTTTGGGATTTAGTTATTTGCAAAAAATTTTTTCGAATAATTCTAAACATAAATTGTAGTTTATTTTATGGAAAATTTTAAGGATTTCATCTATGTTCAGTTAATCCTTTTCTTTTTTTGTAGTATTAATTTTAACCTTCTTATATTTAATATTAATGGTTCATTTTAAAGGTTTAGTTTTTAAACGCTTTTCTTCTTTCAGATTTGCAAAATACTATGCAGACACGATTATATGGCCAACATTTGGCACAGGAAACTGTTGTTGCTGCGATTCAGTCACATTGGAATAATAAGTATATTTATTTAAAATTTATATTCATTAAATACATTTATTGATAATAACTATAATTATAAAATAATTCCACATCTATATTGGTTAAATTCCAGTGAGTATTTGATAGGATGATAATATTCTATTTTTTTTATCTTGGAAATAGAATAAAATTATGCGTAATTCAGTGGTTAGCATTTCTTATTTCAATAATAAATTTAAAGTAAAATGGTGGTTGAAGGCATATTTTATTTATTTATGGATTCATTTTTCATTTAGACGCAGAATTTTTATCGCTTTTTCCGTTTAAATTTCGAAATATCATTGATTGATTATTTTTGATTACAATACAATATCTTTTTTTTTCGCTTTTCTTTATTTAATATATTCTGGGATTATATTACAGGCAGAGTGGCAAAATTTGTCCGGTAAACTAGCGGAGCTTAACTAGAAAATTTTTAGGATTAATTAAATATTATCTTCATATTTGATGATATTATTTGCCACTGAAATTTTCAGGAATCCAACGAAAGCTCTTGTTATGTCGTTCCATGGATGGACTGGTTCTGGCAAGAATTATCTGAGCTCTATGATTGCAGATAGTATATTCAAGTAAGGTTTTTGAAAATATTTAATTTTGCTCAGTACATTTGAATAGGCCCAATTTTCACTAAAATCAAAAGTTTGAACTTTAATTTAATTATTAATTACTTTAATTACTTTGCATTTATTCATCGCTCATAATAATTTGCATTAGTATGATTTAATAGATGATCTGTAGGTCCTTTTACAATTTATGGTGCGCCAGTGGCTCAGTGGCAGGATACTCTTCACCGAGAATCGAGGTTTAGGTTTGAAATGACTTATGAACTGTTCTTAGTCAGTGGCACTATATCCTAATGGAAAAAATAAAAGAATAGAATGGCTCAATGGGTTGTTGCTTGGACTGGAGCACCGAGATTCTATTTCCTATAGGAAAGAACGCACCATACTGAATTCCGGATTACCTTGACGAATCACCTGTATTTCTATCACCAAAGGACTTCCTGGAATCATATTCGTATAGTCCAACAAGTCAGCAGAGCAAGTCTAACCAGCAATGACGAGTGCTCTTAAAAAAAAACAAGCATAATAACAGATGATTTGAATGAAAAGATCCTTTTATTATTTATAATCATGCGAATAAATTAATTCTTCAGTTCCACTTTGTTCATCCATACTTTTTACTAATAATTTTCTTTAATGTTTGGACAACTTTTTCAGGAAAGGTATGCGAAGCAATTATGTGCATATACTTATTTCTACGCTTCATTTTTCTAATTCTAGAGAAATTCCAGTTTATCGAGTGAGCTTTTATTGATAAATTTTTCTGCTGTTGCATTATCAATTATCAGTTAGATAAAATATCATATTGTTGTAGTTGGAGTGAGACTTCGAGTCTATTATTTCTGTCTTTCATCGCATTTTTAAGTTAGCATTTTACAGGATAAATTACGTCAGTGGATACATGGCAATGTTTCTCTGTGTGAGCGTAGTCTTTTCATATTTGATGAAGTTGATAAGATGCCCGCAAAGGTTATGGATGTCATAAAACCTTTTGTAGACCATTATAATAATGTTGATGGAGTGGATTACCGAAAGAGTATTTTTATATTTCTAAGGTTTATTTTTATTACTGGCGCATCTGTATTTTTTGGAAATTTATTTTAATAGCTTTTTATTAATGTTAATTGCTTTTTTTCTTTCACTATAGGTTTTATAAATTATAATAATGAAACTTCTCACGCAAGAAATTCCTGCTATCCTAGTTAATTTAGCAACACTGGTGGCAATGAAGTAGCACAAAAAGCTTTGTCGTATTATGAACAAGGAAAAATAAGAGAATCGATAACTTTGCAAGAAATGGAAGAAATAGTCATTTCAAATGCTTATAATGCCGAGGGCAAGTTTTTCATTCATATAATTCATTTCCTTATCGTTTCTTTTTCTTGTAAGGTTAATAAATAACCAGCGTACGGCTTAGTTTCTTTAATTTTTATCATTATCATTTTTATCTTAATTTATTCCTGAATAAATTAAAAAATTTTAAATCCTGAATGAATCCTAAATAAATTAAGAATTAAGAAATTTTGAACCTAAGGTGGACTAAAAATGAGTGAACTGATATCGAATCATTTGGTTGATCATTATGTTCCATTTCTTCCTCTCGAGAGGCGTCATATTTTATTATGTATACGCGATTATTTGGAATTACGTGGTCTCCATCCAACTAATAATCAGATTACTGCAATTGCTGATTCACTTCAGGTTTTATCTTTCCCTTTTACCTTTCTCAATTTTTCATCTTTATATTCCTTTCGTTTCTTTATAACTCCACTCTTAGTAAATTGTTCTGCAAATTTCAGAATATTTCAAATTTTAAATTTTTTTTAGTATTTTCCAAAAGCGAATCCGATTTATTCGTCCTCAGGATGTAAACGTATTGCTCATAAGGCCGAATTATTTATATCGATTGAGAAGGATAAAGAAAGAAAAAGTATGATGGAGAAAAATTCTGACGATGATGAATTGTAATTTTGTTATCGCTGTTAGATTTCTTAAATTTTTTAAAGATATCTTTTTCTCAGACAATTATGAAAAATATTTAATGATCTAAATTCATAATTTAGGAGAGAAAGAAAATTTAAATGTAATATCTTGGGCTTTTCTAGTCTAAAGTTGATTTTCAACTGTCGCTGTTTCCAATGTTCGCTGGAAATTTAGCGGACTTCGAGAGAATATCACCCTAGAAATTGAGAATAAATAATAAATGGTTTTCCATTAAAAGAACATGGAAAATCGAGACTGACTGAATAAAGGTATGGTAAAGAGACTGAATGATATCATGTCAATGCGATTTTATTGAGTTCCTGTCAAATCTTACTTCTTATCATCATTTAATCATATTTATCAATTCTATTTTGCATGTTTTGCAATTAATTTTATATGTTTCGTAAAATGGATACCAGTTTTGTACTTTTCTTTATATTTTTAAAAATTTTATAATTAGCTTCATAAAAAAGATGAATTAATCAAATTTGTTTTGTACCCATCGTGGCGAAATTTCGTATAGCTCTCATTCGTTCAACAGGTAAACCAATATATGGGGGTCCATTTTCATCTTCACGCCTCCATACGTTAACAGATAACTGACTTCGTAATATTAAACATTTTAAGAAATTAGCTGCTTGTTCATCAGGCAAAAACGCACGCGTTATTGAGAGCCAGGAAGCGATTTCTTGGCGAGTATGAATTACGATTTGCATATGCGATTCATCCAGCGGCACAACCTGAACTTTGATTTTTGTTTTTAAAAAAAATTATCAATCAAAATCTTTTGATTTAAAAGAAATTGTTAGGTAATAGCCAAAAAATATTACTTCTAATGCAACATAAGCAAATTTGCCACTTATTGTACCCAATTCATAACTTTTTCCACTATCATTGTAGATGATTGAAACGTAGTCATTGCCAATGAATTTCTTTTTTTGATTACACTGGGGATCATCTTCTCTTCTTGGCATTAAAGTTGCTAGAATTTTGCAAAGTGTTGATTCTTTATATTATTTGCTTTTTTCATTCTATTATTTGCGGTAACTTTTCCATTTTTTCGAATTCTAATTGGTTTGCTTTCTCAGACTATTAATATTTAAAGCGATAAAAATAGAATATTCGTCTATGTAAACAATTATTAAATTTGTTATTGATGAAGTGATTTAAGACATTCATGAAAGTCGGTTAAGAAAAGCGAAACCTATATGAAAAATCAGCTGCGATAAAGCATCCGTATATCTATAGGTGAAATTCCCGTGTATTTCAGGAACCAAACCACCAGGATGAATTTCCAGCGAAATAGGCTCACCTAACATTCTGGAATATGGGCGTTAATCCATGGTTATTATTTTCAAAATATCTGATATAGCTCAATATTAAACATTACTACCATAAATCAGCTTATATACCTTATAAATGATGAATATCGTTCAGATCCATATAAATTGCTAAGAATCTCAGATTCCTTGGTTTGACCAGGTGCAATATAAACAATTCCAACACAGTGCACTTCAAGTGCAAATATTCTGTCCAGATTTCGCAATGATCTCGAACTAAATTTTTTAGTGGTAATTAGAAAGATTGAATTATTTGTAGAACACTGTAAAAATAGAATTTTTCCCAATGTGGAATAGAATATTTTTGAAAAAGTACGAAAAATCGTAAACAAACATTTTTGCTTTATCTGTTGAAGTTATTTTAACCGCATTACCACCTCTACACAAATGCATTATGAGTTCGCTTGAATCCTCAATGTTCAAAAGTTGTGCTGAAATTCATCAATTTTATTTCCAACTGATAAAAATCTCAAGAGATTTTTTCAAATAGCACTTTTTTTCACAATAACGAAAATAATAGTCGTGAAATAAAAATGAAATTACCACTTGCATTAAAATCTTCAAGTGTCTCAATAAGACCACGCATCAACCAAGAATGTTTTCCATATATATGACGTATGGTTAATTGTGTCCAAACTGCAAGTGTTTGAATTTGACGCTTCGGTGCTTGACGCTTCATTGTAAAAGAATCATCTAATGTAGTTGGACAAAGTGGCTTCACAACACTGGAAATTGTTTTTGGAAAATGTGATAAATAAAAATTCATGATCGGGAAATCAGAATTTTTTAAAATTTTCATAGCAAAAACAATACTACTTTTCAGGTCTCTGTACTGCAGATTGATGGCGACGTCTTCCTTCTGCCGTAAATTCTTCATTTAGCTGAATATTTCTTTCACTTTCTTAAAAAATGGAATTAAAAAAATCTTGAAAAAATTTCAAAAATATTCGTAATAAATTTTTTAAATTTAAATTTTCATATTTTTAATCTTTTAAATTAGATTTAATAATTTTTGAATTTAAATTTATAATTTGATTTAATAACTCCAAATCATAAATTTAAATTTCAAATGATTTTTAAATACGCTTCGAGCATTTTAAATACTTTGGGATTCTTTTTTTAAAATTGTTTTTAAATAACTTTCCAATATTGTTTAAATAAACAAATGAATTAAATGATAGAATACCTGATGAATCAGATTCTTTCCAAGGCTTATTATCAAGATATACTGACAAAGATATAATAGTATCATTAATAACCCAATGTTCCGTTCTATATTCAGTCATTTCAGTTAAGTCAGCTGGGTGAATAGTTTTATCTACAGAATCGCTTTTGCAACGTTGCATAAAAGTAAGCAATGCTTGACGAGCTTCTTCTGCCAACTCAAATATTAAATTGCATGAATAATATGTGGCACCTAATTTTTTATGAAAAACTCCTATGAAGAAATGAAGAAAATTTAAAATATATTAATAATCAACAATATAAGAAACTGAATATCATCAAAATGATCGATGAAACAAATGTGATAATATTAAAATCAATCAAATAAATACATTAATAACTGGATATATTAGATGTAAAACAAATATTCACCGATTCTCGTTGAGAAGCTTCAACTGTTCCATAATAATTACTATTACGGTTTGAGGGAAGAGTATGAAGCACAGAACTTAGTGATGGTGAATCAGGCTGTGAACCAAATGTAGAAATTGAGGAAACAGATGACCGTCCTTCCAAATTAGCAAGTTGCACTAAATCATTCAACGGAATAATATGCGACAACAAATGCAGATCCACCTGAAGGAAAATATTACTGGAATTTTCATATAATTTATGTGATGAGAATATGGGAATATATGATAATATATCTTACCTTTCCCAACCTTATAAAAACCATGGTGAATGGTGCTGAATAAAATCTAATAACTAATAATTCTAATTCTATTCTTACAAGAAAAAAGGAACTAAATAAAAAATATACCCTGTTGATAATGTATTCAGCCATTCGTAAACGATAATTTTCGGGTATAAGAACGTACCATCGCATTAAAGTGCGAAACGCGACAGCAATAATGTAAGTATTAAATCGATGTACATTGGTACATGGTGCTAATATATCAACAATGGTTTCGAAATCTTGCATCTGAACAATTCAAGAATATAAATAATAAATGAGATGAGCAGCTAAATATACTGTTAACATTCAATTTCGACCTGATATCACCAAAATTAAAAAATGTTGCATCCCTACCACAATTTCCACAAGAATTATCACCTTGATTCCACCTTTATTGACACCTTTATTTATGGTTGATAAATTAATAATTAAAATCAAACAATAAAACAGAATTTCATCATAAGAAATGGAAGATTTTATAAAGCAATATTCATGCAATATTATATTTTCCAAATGTTTTTTAAATATTCATGCATCAAGAGAGATGATTTGGTCGCTTTTATATTATATCCTCATTCCATAATTAAATATAAATATATAATTTTAAATTTCAAAAATTACCTGAAAAAATTGATAAAATTCACGCACATAAGAAGAATCGGATACTAATTCAAGTATGGATATTGAAAGTTTTGCGCTCGTTGGTTGTAATTTTGTAAGATGATTCATTAATTGCCGCGCCAAGGGAACCATACAGTCGGGTACAATTTGGATCGCTAAACTACATGCTACTATTGGCTAAAATATAAATTAAACCTTATATTAATAAAATCTGAGATATTAAATTCATTAATTATCGAAGCATAATCTTAAAATTAAATATCGTTATTATTCTCAAAAATCAAAAATAAATATTGGCAACTCTAACCTGTTGAACTCCAGCTCCAACACATTCAACCAAAATTTTGCATATATTTTCATCTTTTAAATAATTTATAAGACGACTTAACACTGGACATAAATGTATCGCTAATTCAACATCATTTCTTCTATCATCGGCTTTACGCGAAGCATCTACTTTTACATCGACATCATTCTCCCAAAGTAGAACAGCTCGTCTCAAAAAAAAGCCAAATTAAAGGAAATATTAAGGATTGAAGGAGCCTTTTCATAGAATCTCAAAAAAATAAATTTTGAGTATATTTTTGAAAAAATATTTGTATAACCAAAGAAAAATTTTATAAATTATTTACAATGATTTGTGAGTATTTGTCAAAAGAAAATATTTTATAAATTCATCACTAGTTTGAAAAATATTTTATATTTAGTTTTAGTATTTTAAATATTTAGTTTTTAAATATCTAAGATTTACTCCCAATGTCTAGGCAAAAAATAAAATCCCAGAGAGAAGAGCGGCAACTAGAGGTTTTTTCTTTCACCTAAAAGTTTCTTTGGAAATACGGAAAGAGTTTCAAAACGAAAGTTTGCATCTTTTATAGTACGTACAGTTTCACTATAGAGAGTGGAAGATATCAGCAGGTTATCCACTGATCTTTTCATTTCTCTACCACTTCTCTAATATGTACCTTAAGCCTTATGAAGAGTGGTGCCAAATGTGAGCAGAACCAATACCACTTTCTGGGTTGATGTCGGAGATCAGAGGCGGTATAGCTATATAGAGATATAGGAAGAGTCTTATCTAAGCCACAAACGAAACCAGCTACAATGACGTAATTTATTAGAAGATTCCAGAGAATAATATCATAAGAGAATAAGATTCCAGAGAAATGGGCAATAAGAGAAAACGAAAATTACTTCTCAAACAAATTTAAAAGAGCATCCTTCATTTTTTTCATTCTTACTTCACCAGCACTGAATATGAAATCTTTAAATTCAAATAATCGACATAAGCGACGCAGAATACCTCTTATTATTGGAAAACTGCAAAATCAAAAATTCTCTCAAAAACAATTAAAAATAATAATGCAAATAATATTTTGAAAATATTGATATAAAAAAAAATGATTTGAAAAAACTGAAAACAAAGTTAAAAGATGAAAAATTTTCAAATTGTTTAAAACGACACATTGCTTACCAAAGTTCGACTTCAAGAACTAAAGTGATAATTTCACATATTTCAGACCATTTAAATTCACCACCGCTACCTTTTCCCGCGCATATAATAAACGGATTTGTAACACGTTTTTCACCATATTTAACTAGAAAAATAAAGTGCAAAAAAAAACATAGAAAAATTAAAATAAATTTATCGAAATACTTTTATCATTTTTAGTTAGGCCTGGACATATTGCCACGTTAGAGCAGATAAATCTGCTTATAAATAATCATTTGATGCTAAAAAGTAGAGGTGAATAGCCAGCATCAAACGGATTTTTGAAAATAGGCTTCTTTCCATCGAGACTAGAATTTAAGCATCGGCGCGTAGAAATTAGAAAAACAATCCGTTCAGCCAATCATTTCTATGAATTTCAATCAAAAAAAAATTACGGAAAGAAAAACTAACTCAAATGACCAGTATTCGTATCGTACAGAATTGATAACAAAGCAGCGATAAGTTGTTGACGAATTTCAACTCCAATTTTGCAAACATTTTCATTCGTATAATAAATTTTAAGAGGATCATAGAAAATTGAATTAATAATTAAATCAAGATGCACAAATTTCAAATGTGCGAAGCGTTCATGAAGCATTTGACACACTCCACCAATAACAATTTCCAAATTTTCAGAGCACTCTTAAAAAAAGCGAAGATTGTTGTGCTTGACAAACATTTACATTTACATATATTTATGTAGAAATAGCTAACCTTCTCTATGAAATTCAATATCCAGAAAAGTACGAATTATAGAAATAATTGATGCAAACAAATCTGTTTCACCACTAACCAACAATCTCATTGTCTTCGCCACATCAAATAATATGTTAATCATTTGATTCTAACATCAAGAAAGAGCAAATATTAATTTAAATATTAATATTAAATGAATATTAAATATTAATTTATCATAAATAAAATATTGAAAGAACCAATCAAATCAATAAAAAGATTGCTTATACCTACTATTTCTGAGCTAACACAATATGGCAAAGAAAATGAAAAAAGTAACACTTATAAATAATTTATTTTTATTTTATCAACAGCCAGTAAATAAGTTATCCATATTTAAATAAATTAATTACATTAATGGCCTGTATCTTCTCTCTTACAATGATAAGCAATTTTTTAAATAGGGAAATAGGAATAAGAAAAATAAAAATTACTAAAATAAAAAAAGATTGAAGAGAAAATATTCCAAGGTTTTATTTCTTTCGCTTACCTGTACTGTCATATCTTTTTCATCATAAACTTTATATAAAATTGGTATAACAAGATTAGAAATAATTTCTATTTCAAACATATGATGATATTTAATAAAAATATAGTGAATCACACTGACCGCTTTCTCTCTAAATTCATTCATTACCATTATTATTAACAAGTTAACATTATTAATAAGTTTTAATAAGTAATAAATTCGAAAAAACTTAGAAATATTTGGAAAAAAATTTAGAAATATTTATAATCAAAATTAAATTCATGAATCACCTATACTACAATGAAATACTAAATCTTACTAATAATATTAATATTTTATGCAAAATTATACATAATTTAAAATGTCTTAAGGAACGCCATTTCATCCTTTCAAAAATAAGCGTATTATTCGATATAAAAAAATAATAATGACAAACCTTACAATTGAACATTCATTTCTTAGATAACGCTGAACAAGATCAGCCAAAATATTAAGCCAGCGATGTGTTAATGGACTAATACACTAAAATTTAAAATTTAAAATTTAAAAAAATTCTCAAAATAGCAAATCTGGAAATGTTATAGATGTTATAGATGACATTTGCTATGAAAAAAAAACTTACCATAATTCTGTAGTCAATTAAAGCAACAACACTCTCAGGAGGCCGTTCGAAGGTACAACGTTCAATGAGATCAAACACTGCCTCAGGCGAACCAGAAAACTCACCTTCTCGATATAATTCTTCAATTATTTTAATAAGTTTATGCAGCTGTTGATATAAATTTTTTCGATTATCGCTAAAAGGCATCTGAAAAACTGGAATGAAATGGAAGATCAGTGAATTGCTTATACCTTATTGCATATAGGACAGTAAAGAGAAGTGGGTAGTGGGTTTAAATAATTTTGTTGAGATGCAGTGAAACAGATCCCACTCCTAACAGTAGCGAATCTACCATTAAAATATCCAAGTAATGATAGTAATTAACCTTTATTTCTATTTCTTTCAAATGATTCTCTAGCAAAAACATTCAATCGCATTAACAACCAGCCCTAATCACTTAAACTCTAAATGATAAACCCTAATCATTTAATTTTAATTTTTTCTTATATTTACAATTACACCTGATAATAAAATTTAATTCCCATTTAAATATCACATTTTTCTAAATAATATTTTCTTTCACTGAAAGTTTTAAATGAATTTTACGAAAAATATTGGAAATACTATCAACAAATTGAAATGCAAAAAGGTTTTTGGTCTTACATTATTGAGTAAATCAGCCGCCTTATTCAATAATTGCATAACACAATGCCAAGTAAGTTGCTGCAATTCTTTACCATATTTCGATAACAACCGTTTTAAGCTAATAAATACTTCTCGCATAATTATTGGATCGGCTTCCATTCCGGATGCTAACGCAGGAAGAACTCCACTTGGATGAATACGTAATGTGTCAATACGCTGAAAATAACGACAAAACCAATCTGGTTTATGTCATACTCATCAATTTTCTTTACATTATGGTTGTTCCACAGGCAATGAGACAAACAAATAAAATAACCAAGGAAAAATGAACCGAGTAAATCTCGAAAAATCCTAATCAGTTCACAATGTATCATTTATTTAGGAAGAAAAATCAAAAAAATAAAGGAAAGAGATAAACCTGATTTCCCCACAGTGAAAGAGTGACGGCAGTAACAGCACCAACAATGACTTTCGGCTTTGGGCAATTCTTCGCACAAGTAATCATTTGTAAGAGAAGTCTCAATGTATTATATCCACAGCTGGAACGAAGCAAATCTTTCATCAAACCCCAAGCAGTTAGACCTAACCGATTAAAAGGAATCACTGTGCATAGCGTCGTAATGAGTGGAATTAGTTTACTATCTGGAACGTGCCTGAAATATTCTTCGTTTTTCCAGATTACCAATTAAATCGGATCCATAACACCATAAAACAAAATAAAAACATATTCTTTTATTAATATATTTAATATTTGGGAAATGATAGTCCGGAGTGATATGTACACCTCCTGAGTGCCGACAAGCAATTTCCATTATCCAGTGTATCGAATAATGCAGTATTGTAGAAGGACGCAGCCTTAACAGACACCAGTTTTTAGATTGAAAGAGTTAGTCATTTTCCTATATACACAGAGCTATGCCGATATATAGTGATAAAATGTATGAGATCTGATGGTAACCAGAAATTATAAAAGTTAAAATCCGACGGTTTACTCTTTGAAAGCTATTATCTTCTAAAAATGATATATAATTTTTATGTGAAATGCTTGGACATCAATAAAACTTTATTTATTTTGTATTTTACTTTATATCAAAAAATTTTCTGTGAAAAATTTTTCTAAAAGCAAACTTACCCATATTTAAGAATGGCATCAAGTAATAAGAGACATTCATAAGTTAGATGATCTACTTTATAACAAATTCGAACAGACATCTTATGCACTATTTCGTCAAGCGCTTTTTCTCGCAGAAAACCTGTATTCATCCTATAATTTTTAGAACCATTAGTATTATTTTGCCTAAAAATCGATGAGTTTTTCCATTACAAGCGCGATTTCGCAATGGTTTATAAGTAAATAAGGATTAAAGATTTTCATAATAAAGAACTTTGAAGAAAAGACTGACTTGACTAACTGCTGAGCCAATTGCAGAACGCGTATTGCAAGTCGGTGATCTAATTTTCTGATATCCAAAACCTCGGATAACCAATCCAAAATAAGATCAACGATGTCATATTCGTAACCAGATATATCTTCACCATTCTTTGTTAAAGCAACTAGCCATTCCAGTGATAAATCGGACAATCCCATCTGCCGAATATCCTTAAAAAAACCTATATCTCGAAATTTATTTTGATTAAAATTTATTGCAAAATATCTTTAGCAAGTTTACTTTTTTGTGAAAGGTGTACGATAGCCTAGATAAATTACCATGTTCAGAGGTAAGAGTTCGGCTCTCAATAAGAATAAAACTATCATTAAAGAATCCGTGTACTGCTGGTGATCTACCTATCTATGTTTTTTTCTCTTGCAAAAATTTTTAATTGTACTAACAATGGCAAAGCTGGACAAATTAGAAATGGTGCGAACCAAATTTTTTTAATAAGACGCGCAAATGCTTGAAATCAATAAATTCGGGGGATCCATATATCACTCTCATAAATAATTCAATTTGCCAGAAGTATATAAGTGTCCAGAGCAAGAAATAGGAATTGTATCAATTCTGGTTAATTCGCAAAAATCAAAGAAAAAATAAATCGAGAAAGGACTTACGCAAAAAAATGAATCACGAAGAGGTAAACCAATCTGTTCACTTTGACGATCAGCAATTGCAATCAACAATCTTACTTCGGCATCTTTTCCTTCATCAACTAATAATAAATCTTTTGTTTCATGATAAATAGCTTCAAGTGTGTTAACTTGTAATTGTCTATATTGCATCACCTGAAATTTTTATAAATTTATGAAATGAAATGTTTCATAACAGAAAATGTAATAATAAATAAAAAATCAAACCAAAAGAAAAAACCACTAAACTGGCATTCGAATTTCATAAATCATACAAGAGCTAATTGTTCGAGCAATTTTAGACGAGTTTTGAGCGAACTATCCTTACTCATTTCCACCCATGCTGCTTGATTAATTGAACCTTCACTGCAAATTCACTAGAACTAAAAATAATCGAAGCTATTTAAATTAAATAATTATGGTGATCCACTAAATAACGGCGTTTAGCCCACAATCCCAAGTGTATTCTTTTAAACTAATGCAGAATATTCCGGAAATATAAATCCTAAAAAACATTTTTGTAAATTTTATGAAAAAATTCATTAATAATGAATATATTTTTGGTGCCTGAAGATAGGTGCAGTCATTTAAGATAATTGTTAAAAAATTTAATAAAATTTTCGAGAACGTTTGCACTGAATCTACAAATTCTTTCATCGCCTTCTATTTTTATGTAATGTTCAACCAGTCTATGGTACTGGTATGGTACTCACCTATATTTTTATCAGCAAATGATTCCCTGGCAAAATAAATCTGGTCCAATAAGTTAGCAGACTTGTCTAATTATTAATGGTGAGCATTCTTAGAAAAAAATCAACCAACTGCCGACCCTTTACCTTACTACTAAACCATCTTTTTACCACTAGGATGAGATCCCTTCTTTAAAGAGTCATTAAAGGACAGAAATACAACAATATACCACCACCATCCCCAGCACCACTCTGATTTCATTTCTAATGGAAATTATTAAAGGAAAAAGGCTGAATCCGTGACACTTATTCTAAGTCGTAGCGATATACAACTCGACCATCCTGTTCAAATTTCAATCTTTAAAGATATATTCCATATTTCTGAATTATTGCTCAATTAATTACTATCAGAAATAATTTTAAATTTTGAAATTTTGAAATCTGTTTTCTATTCACTGTTTTTATTAAATATTAAAAAAAATAGTTTTCGGATTTGATTGGATTGAATTGTCGACCTGCTTAAAAAATTTCGTAGTTCAGGTTCCTTATTATGTGAACGATTGAACAGCAATGAGAAAAACGATCGGCGAGAAGGCACATTCATTAGTGATGATGATGCTGAATTTGTTTGGCTCGACACACCTATAATTTATCATATCTAAAAGGCTTAACAAATTAATGCATCGTTGAAATACCTGGGGAAATAAAATTAACTAATTAAACTAATTCCTACTTATGAAAAACTACCTAATTCCCATCAAATATCCTTTTAATGTGTGGAGAATGCTTAAGCTTCTTGTTTGAAATTTCCCTTCAAAATATCGCTAAAATCATTTGCCAAAGCCCTTAAATAAACTCTCTCTGCCAAATTCCACATAGTTATATTTCTTTGACTGGATTTTATCCACCTTCAAAACCTTGCACGACATCGCCTGGGACCCTCTTATTTCCCTTTAAAACTTTGCCGAAATATTTTGTTTGTTAATTATTTTTTCTACAATAAATCATTCTGCAAAATCTAAATTAGCAATTTCTCAAGTCATAAGTTACCTTAATTCTTGTGCCCCGCCAAATCCCGCTATACAATATTTTTAGCACACAGTTTACCTACTTGTCACCATAACGAGAGAAGTGTTGGCAAGACCGACCGGATGGTTTAAAGAATAGATTTACTTCGATCGAAGCCAAACAAAAGACTCTGAATTATTAATCTTATTGGTGATCTTATCAGTCTTATCAGTCAATTCTATAATTTGATAAATTAACAAATAAACGGGAAGAAATAGTTTAAAGACGAAAACGAACGTATCCGGAAGTTACGATTTGAACTCGACGAACGAGGTAAACGATGTCTCTCGGAATCTTTCTTCATTATTCGTTTATGTGCGCCTGCAAATAATATTTCTTCGATGACCTTTGACCCTTCTCATTTTTTTTTCAATTACAATTACAATATGATTAGTAAATTAATGGAAACAAAAAAATAAAAATGAAAAAAAAAGAAAAAAACAGCTCACATAAATTTACCAAAAAAAAACACACGACCGAAGAATGTTGCAAATTTAATTGAGATTTACGACAATAGTCGAAATGCGGCCCAGTATCTTTTACCGTAATATCTTGCGGTCCGAGCCGGCTTCTTCGCACGGACGTCTTATCATTTAATAGGCGAAAATATTGGCAACGGATACAGAAGACTTTCAGCTTAAAGGCTTAATAGAAGAGTTTATATTTATCGGTAAAAGTTTCGAAAGCAAAAGAAAACTGTAGAGGCTATTGTTTTTGGAAGTAGTATTCGAGTAAGGAGTTAAATCTCTTCTGCCACGTTAGTATTTGATCAGCTGATTGAAGCCGATTATGGCTAAACGAAGATTTCCCGGAAAGGAGGCTTCCCGAGCATTGCAGTCAAGAGAGGCCTTATTTAATAACACTAGAATTACACCATTCCATTTTAGTGGAGTGCCATCAAGATTAGCATTGAGATTAGCTTTATCCTGGACCTTCAGCACTAATAGGAATATCCACAAGAGGACCTTAATAAAATAAAGTGCCAGCAAATGCCCTCCATCTTATTAATTTATCACAAGCGAAATTTACGAGTACATCGTCATCGCTAAAATTACTGTTTAGTTCCTTTATCTTTTAAGATTTTAAGATATGTTTTTCGAATATCTTTGAATTAAAAATATATTTGGCATAATTATTGCAAAATTAGGCTTAGGCTTAGGCTTAGCAGATGGTGTCAGCTATTTGGTTATGCCTTGTTTATGCCTGTATTTTCTTCCTACTTATTTTTCATATCCTTATATCCTCCCACTAATTGTTAGACTGTTTCTGGGGCATTTTCTATATAATCTGCATATAGAAACATATCTAGCGTGGTGGTAGATACCTGTTTCGACGGATTCTCATATACTGCTGTAATCAGTGCCTCAGCAGTAATTAGGAAGTCTTTTGATTTATTTCGAAAAGTTTTTAAGCGTCAGCTTTAAAATTCTAATGATTTTTTAAATAACAGTATATATATAGGTCGAAGCTCAGTGTCGCGAAATGCGATCTTTCTATTATTTTAAATTTATTATTTCAAAATAGTGACCCCGAGCCGCCAAATGAAGCCTTTCATTTCTTCATTAATTCCTTATCTTCACATGTGTCAATAAAGGATAGTGGTCAATTTATAAGTATGTAATGGATATCTTTTTCAAAAAAACTATTCTTTTGGTGCCATCAAGAGACTTGGGTCCAAATATTTCAATATTCAATATTATGCATTTTGTTATTTAACATATTTATTTAACATCCCTTGGATAGAATTAGATTCAAGCATTTCTTATTTATATTATCTGAAATTGCCTGAAATCTCGAGATTTAACTCATATCGAATATTATCTTGGACTAATCCTAAGCCTAGGCCAAAGGCTTTCAATTTCTTATAATCAATATATATATACGAACAGGTTTAACTATCCAAGTTTGAGGTAAACGGATAAAGATTTTTATCAATTTGTTCGGTAAACAGTTTTTATCCTATTGTATTGTCCTGAGAAAGCGGTCGATCAAGATTATTCTAATTAACGCATGGCAAGCGAGCATTTTTCACTACTTCCAATCAATTAGCAATTAGAAATATATTTTTTATATTTATTTTCCCATCAATTAATAGAATAAGGTAAGAAAAATTATTTACAGAGGTTGATACAGATTTATCAACAGAAATAAAACAAACATAGATCGGATCATTCGGCAAATTGAACCGTAAAATTTTAACTATTTCATCATTATTTATTCATTTAATATAATATTTCATCTAATATTTTTCTAAAATTTAATTTAATATCAATTTTTTTTAAAATTCGATTTAATTAAATTTAAAACAAAGAATTCGAATTTTTCCTACAAATTTAATTGCAAGAAATTTTAGATGTTGCATATATTTATTAAATTCGATAATTATTGCAAAAAAATAAGTAAATCCTTTAAATTAGAAAAGCTTAGGAGAAAGAACTTTTATAAAAAAAAGAAGTCGTATTAAAAATTATAAAATATTGCAAGGATGACGGGAGTAATGAATGCGAGAGCAAAAAAAATGTGTTGTCGCATGAAGAGAATGTCATAGAAGCTGTCGTAAAATTAAATAAAAAATCAATAAATCAAGCATTAAAAAATCAAAAATTTTTGACAGGCGGTTTAGACTGTGTCATCACTCTATATAATAGATTATGAAGAGCGTACATGAAGTTGGCGACAAAAATTTTTTATTCGAAATTTTACGGCAAAAGCATGGTTGTAACAAGTTAAACTAAATTTTTTTGCATATACTTCAGTTTCTAATTTGCCAATTCGATTCTCAGATGTGAATTGCAAGCGATTAGTTTATATCTATTTCGTGGACAATGTATTCGCCATCCAAATGTTGCAGTCTGAAGCTAAGGTTTTGAAATAGAAACCATTTCAAAAAAAATAAGTAAATCAATTTATTGCGTACAGTCATTCGAAACTGTCCGATAGAATAATTTTTCATAAACATTCTAGAATTTAAAAGTTTAAAATATTAAAGAGATAAGGGAAAATTCGGGATTTTTCCATTATCGTTATCGTTAAAATGTAAGTCTTCCGTAAAAACTATTGTCCTAAATGCGCAACCATTGTTTTCGAATTTCTCGGATATTTCCTATAATCAATTATATTTTATTGATTTATTTTATTAATTATTATATTTTATCATATTTATTTATTTTATACTTTGCCTTGACTCACATTTCCTCAGACCATTGTCCTCTATTTCGATGATTCTGTGCAAAAAGTCTAAGCCCAAGAATATCCCTTAGCCTAAACCCTAGCCCTAGCCAAATCCCTGGCCAAGCCTCGGACTAAGCCTAGAACTTTGACTATGCCTAGGAATTTTGCCTGAATCTTGGACTAATCCTAAGCCTAGGCCAAAGGCTTTCAATTTCTTATAATCAATTATATTTTATCAATTATATAATTATATTTTAATCATTCATTTTATCAATTATATTCATTTTATGAAAAACCTTGCCTAGACATACATTACGATTTCTTTTTTTTCAAAAGACAGCGCCTTCTTCTAAACTTTTCTCGTTAAAAGGATTTACTTATTTTTTTACAATATTTGTCGAATT